CATCATGATACGTAATGAATGTATACTAATAAAAAACAATGCTGTGAGTGACAAAATATGGAGCAGCCCTGGCAGCTCTTGTGTGTGATGGCCCTCCCAATCTCACCCCTTCTTAGCCAGCTGTTTGGTGGCATATGCAATGCTTTAGATTTCATGTAGTACATAAACCAAGAGCTATGTCTGAGCCCTTCGTCCACTGAACTTCTGTGTGTGTGTGTGTGTGTGTGTGTAAGAAGAGTGTGTGTGTATGGGCAGGAGGGAGGGAGGGAAGGAGAAAGAGAGAGAGAAAGAGAGAGAGAGAGAGAGAACACTTTACTGGGTTGGTTAGCTCTGGGTGCTCAAATCTAGGACTTGCAGGGAATACTGGGATTTGCATAACCCTGTCCCCTCAAGGCGTCTATCTAAAAATACAAATCATGTGAAAGTTCAATTGAGAGGAACCTGAGGCAGGCTGCTTAGATAGTTGACTGCAGTGATCACAGTTGGTCCCTATAAAATATCATTAGAACACAATCCCCAAGTTCTTCCTATAGAGCTTACGGAAAAATGCTTCCTTCATGGCTCTGAAAGAATGTGCCTTTAAGAAGGAAATGGGACTTTGGGCTGGCTGATAGTTACACATCATATCAATACAGGCTAACATGGCTGCGCCTTGGAAATTATATTATTGCTTCCTATAGTCTTGAGGAGTGGACACAGAGCCTCACACATGGTAGGCCAAATGTTCTACCACTGAGCTGTGCCTCCAACCCTTGTGAATTCTGACTGTTAAGTTTAATTTACTCAAAACATAATAAACACCTTAAGCATCAACATTTATCTCAAGAGCCTGGAGCTAAAGAGTTTTCTGCTCATTTTTAAGCTTTTGTTCTAAGGTAACACTTTATTCCTTCTAATCCATTAAGGCACTTTTCTGATTCCACTTTTCCCCAGCTTTGTTTACTGGTCAGACTGGGGCGAGCCAGCTAAAATAGAAAAAGCAGGAATGAATGGATTTGACAGACGTCCACTGGTGACGGAGGACATCCAATGGCCTAATGGAATTACACTCGGTATGTATGTACTTCCCCATCACCGACTAGTTAACTATCTTCATAGTTTTTAAATATATGCCCATTATAAATGTGAAATGGTTCTTCTAGTTCCACCTATAGCAGAAACTATGGGAGAGAGTAAACAAATATGGTGGCCTTAACAAACTACAGGTCCCAGGATGGCTGGCTTGTCATCTAGATGGTGTAATAAGCAACAGAAACTAGGAGAATCTTGAATCTTTGGGCTTCTCATTTAGAACACTATAGGCATGGGTGCCTTTGCCTTTCCTGGGTGGTAATTTGTAACTGTTTCCTTCTGAATTATCTGGGAAGAAATAGAAAATACAAGCCTTCTCTCTCTAATGTAGCATATCATTAGTCAATGACTTTGAGAGTCTTAGAAATTCCATCGGCACCCATAGAGGAAATGCAGATACAAATTCTGTTGGCGGCTTCACAAGTATTATAGTGTCCTCATTAAGAACTCCTGATAGAGAGGAAACCATAAAGTAGAATAGATTCTTTGTATATTTTAAATAGAAGCCAGAGCAGCAATAGCTCATATCATGTCAATTATTTTCCTGCCTAGACCTTGTCAAAAGCCGCCTCTACTGGCTGGATTCCAAGTTGCACATGCTCTCTAGTGTGGACCTGAATGGTCAAGATCGTAGGATAGTGCTCAAGTCTCTGGAGTTCCTAGCTCATCCTCTTGCACTCACCATCTTTGAGGTAAGACTCATGCCTCACGTCTATGTGGACACTTTTGGAGCAGTTCTATGGGAAGAGAAACGAGCAGTAGACAACTGAAAAACCTTTACCTAAAGCCTAGTATACATTAGACACTAAGTTCTTAAAGCCTGGTATATATTAGACACAAAGTCCACAAAGAACTTGCTTCTCTTACACTTTCTACTCAGTGTTCCAGAGAATCATTCAGTAACCTTGCCCATTAAATGGCAAGTAAATAATGATAATCTTAGCTCTTGATTTGTGCCAGTCTTGGGTCTACATGCTAATTGTAGGGTTCTGTTTTAGGATCGTGTCTACTGGATCGATGGAGAAAATGAAGCAGTCTATGGCGCCAATAAATTCACTGGGTCAGAGCTGGCCACTCTAGTGAACAACCTCAATGATGCCCAAGACATCATTGTCTACCATGAACTCGTCCAACCATTAGGTAACCTGAAGATGCCCATGACCATCCTAAAGGAGTAGTATGATCCTGAGCTTACTACTTACTGGCTCCTTAGCAACTTAACTCCCTTTAAAACAGAACCTTTGTCCTCTTGAACCCTAGGCCCAACTCCACACTTGATGCCTGATGTCTCCTTCCAGACATCTTAAAGAAATGGCTTCAGAGCTACCTTTTAGCTCCTTCCAATCCCTAGTGACATAGCTTCCATCTGCATCTTCTGGGTCTTCTTTGCAAAGCCTGTTGTACCAGTTTCCATGGTAACCTTCAGGTCATAGATACTCCTCATGATTAGTTTTCTTGATTTGCTGTAGCAAAATAACACAAATTGGATGCCTTAAACAACAGAAATTTACTGTCTCACAATCTAGAAACTAAGAGTATAAAGTCAATGTGTTGGTAAGTTGGTTCCTTTTTGAGACTTGAGGGAAGGCTCTATCCCTCTCGTCTTGATTAGAAGATGGCCATTTCCCCACAGCATCAATTCACATCTTCTTTTGATACATGCTTGTCCCCATAGTTCATCTTCTGTGAAGGACACTGGACATTTGGAGTTAAGACCTACCCTAATGACCTCTGTTAATACAATATCTGCAACTAAGGTCACATTCTAAGATATTGTCAGTTAGGACTTCAATGTGCAAATTTTATGGAGGGACACAACTTAATCTGTAACACCTTTTCTTCACTATGACACATCTTATATAGGATTTAACAAGTTATCAATTATATCTAGTCATATTTTCTCCTGCCCAGAACCTGAACCAACTTGTCTATCTAATGAGACCCTCACACCTCTCTGTAACTGAGTTCCCTTACACTTTGTAGCAGTAAGTCAATATAAAGCCAGAAAATTATGATTTATCTCCTTCTGAATCTTTGCTCTGAGCTTTGAATAAACAGTGTGAGCCAGGCCTGGTCTCTTACCTCCCTTCACACCTAGCCATGGAAAACATAACTTTTACTCTACTTCTGGGATGTGTCTGAATCAGGTATCTTTAGAGTGTACTTCCAGTACATTGACTGATACCCATTCAACTGATGCCCATTCTTCATTGATGTTAGTATTACTTGAAGAACTGATAGAGGAGACAAATGTAAGCCCCCCAGAGTCTATAGGCAGTCAACACTACAGTACTTATTTTAAAGGACTTTTTTCTTCCCTAGGTAAAAATTGGTGTGAAGAAGATATGGAGAATGGAGGATGTGAATATCTCTGCCTGCCAGCACCACAGATCAATGACCACTCTCCAAAATATACCTGTTCCTGTCCCAATGGGTACAATCTCGAAGAAAATGGACGAGCGTGTCAAAGTAAGACTTAGCATTTCAGCCACAAGCAAAACATAGAATGAGCACTATAAGACACCAGCTCCAACCTACCTAGATTTTAAAGACTCTGTTGTAGCTAACCTTTGACATTGATTTCAGAATAAGTGATTAGGTGTTATGGTTGTATGGCAGGCATTCATTCTATCTGTGCTTTGAAGCTCACCTGTGACCCATTTCAACACAGTTGAGTTTAGAGGGGACAGAAGTCTCAATGTACCACATGCTAGCTTGTACCCATTGCTCTATGACACCTCCTGAGCTAGCCTATTTTTAGCTAATTAAAGTCTTCTATAGAGGGCTGAACAAATATATTGAAGGCACTTAAGGAAGGAGGCCATGATTCCAGGGCACTTAACTAGTCTCAGTAGATGACACAAGTTTAAACTCACTGATAGCCTAAACTTGAATTTTAATAGTTGTTTTCAGCTTTTGATTAAGGAGCAAACCGAACTTGCTGATTGTAAGCAGTAGTGATGTCTTAATTAACATCATTATGTAGTACCATAATAAGCACTTAGTTTTCTTAGAAAATAGGTATAAGCCCCCCCTGGTGTGTATTGTACACCAGAGTAGTTTTGAGAACATTTGTGGAAATTTCAGGAGCTTGGGGCTTTGTTGAGAGGAATCCATTTGTCTGAATCTTTCTGAGTTGTCAAATTCCACCTGCTGACTGCCCTCCTCAATGTTTCCTACGTTTCTGGATTTTTGCACAAAGCTGGCTATTTCTCTCCATTCAGATATGTCCACTTTACAAGTTAATTCTGCAGTGGGTTGTCTTTTTTTTTTTTTAACCTGGAGTTAAAATAACCTTTCATCATGACTTCTCTGGACTACACAGTCAGCCACTCAGGAACCTTGGCCTTAACCAGGTTCTTGGTTTTTATAATCCAGGTACTTCAACTCCTGTGACTTACAGTGAGACAAAAGATATCAACACAACAGACATTCTACGAACTAGTGGACTGGTTCCTGGAGGTATTGGGTCCAGCACTGCAAACTGTTAATCTCAACTAACTGCCGCTTAAATAATTAATGCAGCTTTTCACTACTGGTTGTGTCCCAACTGGCTACTTGTGCCTAAAGTCCAAGGATTTAGATTCTGCGTATCCTGGATAAATCTTGACTTATTTACATCCATAGGTTTAATGTAACTCAAATAATTCTAAGCCCAAGTTCTTCTGATATCTAATTATAATGGATACTAGAAATCAATATTAAGTACAAAGATGTGAGGATCTCTACCAAATCAGTAGATGTCTAAGTATAAATTAAAGTCTTTATAGACTGATTCCTTGTATGTCCTTGTAGGGATCAATGTGACTACAGCAGTATCAGAAGTGAGTGTTCCCCCAAAAGGGACTTCGGCTGCCTGGGCCATCCTTCCTCTCTGTAAGTAAATTTGCCTCTCATATAGATTTTATGGTTTAGTTCATCTGCAGTCACCTTCCAGTGGTCTCTTAGGCTGTCGTAACTCATGAGACACTCAATTCCATTTACCCCCTCACCTACCTGGTACCTACTCTTCAATATCATCTTTCCCTTGATGGTGAATATCTATCAATTTGCCTACAAGGTCTTATGGTCTGTTGAACTTGTTAACTTTGCTTATCCCTATTTAGGGGAAGTCTCTTTTAATAAGAGTTTTGTTCTAGTCCCATTTGTTGCATACAATCATTCACAAAGAGCAAAGGGTCAAATGCTTTTTGAATGAGTTGTAGAATTCATGAAGGGTAAATTAAAAGAAGGTAAGTGTTTTCAAACTCAGGGAAAAGAATCTCTAAAGCCACTTTCAGGCATGTGAATTTGAAGGCACTTTGATTTAATGGCCCCTTTTACCTAGCTTATTGGTTGACCTTACACACTAGAAGCACTTGACTAGCACACCAAAGGCTTCTGTAATTTTTATGTAGCTATCCTAGGGTTGGGGCTCAGGACTCTATACTACCCTGGATGCACTTCACCTCCTCCCCCTACCCCCCCAGTGCAAAGATTCACACAACCACTGGGCTGAATTTACTTTAAAACTTTGTCTCACTTATATTCCAATTTCTAATTATCCTAGCTACTTAAAACATGGAAGTGTTGTTAGTGTTAATTATCATAGAGCCATAAACATTAGACCTCACTTAGTCACCTCTGATTTTTTTTTTAAATCAGTGCTCTTAGTGATGGCAGCAGTAGGTGGCTACTTGATGTGGAGGAATTGGCAGCATAAAAACATGAAAAGCATGAACTTTGACAATCCTGTGTACTTGAAGACCACTGAAGAGGACCTCTCAATAGACATCGGTAGACACAGCGCTTCTGTAGGACACACGTACCCAGCAGTAAGTGTGCTTTGTCTATATTTACTGGCTTAACATCAGTTGCTTCAAAGGAGTGTACAATCACTAGCTATGGCTGCCTGGGTTGGAAGGATCATTAAGTCCCAGACATTTTATCCACTGACTGCATGTTAGATACTAGAAGTCTGGACCACTAGAACAGTCAGTTAATAAGCATCTCCCTCACAGAGAAAGGGGAGGTAAGTCCTACCTGACCTTATTTTAGATTATAGAAATGACATGTGAATAGCCAATGAACCAACTAGCTCCTTTTTAAACTTCAATTCCTTGCATGCTGGATACCTAAAGGTAAATCAGTGTGGACATGTGAGATAGGAGAGTTGACTGAAAGTCAATAGCTTGAATAAGATTCAATTAGCCAAAAGTAATAAGTACTTTCCTTGGAGAAGTGCTCCATCTCACCTAGAGAGACAGCTTTCTACAAGAACAACAACAGTAATCACTTGTTCTTCCAATAAAAACCCAAGTATGTATTTGGCCTCCACTTCAGGACCATGCTGAATGAAACATGCTAAACAGGAACAATGTCCTTGCATGCTCTCCAGTGTAACAGGGAATAGTGTTCAGTCCATATCATATATCTTTTCACATTTGTCTTAAGATTTATAATCCTTAAACAGAATCAGTCAAACTTTTTTTTCCTACCAAGTAAGTACAGGTTAAATATCCCTTATTTAAAACACTTGGTGCCAAAAATGTTCAGACTTGTAGATTTTTTTTAAGGGGGACATGGGTTTTAATGTTTTTACATACATAAAAAGTTTGAACACAAAATCCATTTGTTTCAAATATTCTTATGTACATACACATAGCCTACAATGCTTTATACAATATTCTGATGTATGTTCATTTTGACCATAACTAATAACATAAGGTTAGATGTGGAATTTTCCTTCCATAATGTCATCGTGATATTCAGAAATTTTCAGACTCGGGAACCCCTTTTGAGTTTCAGATTTTTAACTTGGGGACACAGACAACAACATATGTGTCTGACCTCCAACTCTTTGGGTCTTTAAATGGCCAGCTCAAAAGCAAAGTCCACTTTGTAGAGTTGCTAAGAGTAACCACCAAGCTCACCGGAACCTTTTTCTTCTCTGCAGATATCAGTTGTAAGCACAGATGATGATCTGGCTTGAGTTCTGAACAAGGCTTGCTCTATGAGGTCTACACCAATAACACCCCACTCCAGAATGATAGCAGAGCCAGCGCTGAAGTCTCTTTTTTCTTCCTCCCATCTGGAAGAACATCAAGATATCTTCTTGTGGATCAAGTTTGTGTACTTGATCATTTTTTTATTACTTTTGTAAATATTCTTGGCCACATTCTACTTCAGCTTTGGATGTGGTTACCAAGTATCTGTAACCCTTGAATCCCTAGACAGTATTGCCATCTCTGGCCAAATATGCACTTTCCCTAGAAAGCCATATTCCAGCAATGAACCTTGTGCTATAGTGACTCCCACCTGTACATACACTGTATAGGCCACCTGTACATATCCCAGAGAACAATCACTATTCTTAAGCACTTTGAAGATATTTCTATGTAAATTATTGTAAACTTTTTCAATGGTTGGGACAATGGCAATAGGATAAAACGGGTTACTAAGATGAAATTGCCAAAAAAAAAATTTGTAACTAATTTTGTACGTATGAATGAAATCTTTGACCTCTGTAGAGGTTTACAAAGACTGACTTCAAACTACTGTACATTTTTTTTCAAGTGCTAAAAAAAATTAAACCAAGCAGCTTATCCATGGTTTTGATTATTCCTCTAAGATGAGATTCTGGGAACAGTAGCACCAAATGTCCTAGACATCTAAGCTATAGTTAGTTCTTGATGTTGTATACCTAAGTCCATAATTGAACTAGTATCTTTTACAACCAAGAACTAGCTAAACAATTAAGTATCATTTAACATTTGTTACCCCATATCTATTGCTTCCTTTTTCCCTTCTTTCCTTCCTTCCTTCCTTCCTTCCCTCCTTCCTTCCTTTCTCCCTTCCTTCCTTCCTCCCTTCCTTTGCTGGCCTCAAGCTTGCAATGCTGCTGCCTCAGCCTCTCATCTTCTAGAATTACGTGTCTACACAGCTATACTCAGCCCATGTACTTTTTATTTTATAAATGACACTGTCTTCCTAAAATTCCTTTCTTTAACAGATTTCTTTTTCTGACTTTTTTTCCCACGATCTAGAAACACATGCCAAGATTTTCATAAGTTTTCTTGTTTTGTTGTCCATGTTCTTTTATTATTTGTAGGTCAAAGAAAAGTGCCTTCTATGGCAAGGGAAAGGGCTTTATTCTTATAAGAATCTGGCCTGTCTTAACCATGGAGATGGGTAGGAAGGATACTAGGCAGCATCCAGCATAGCTAAACAATCTAAGCTGTGGTTCTTAGCCTGTCCCAGGAACAGCAGCATGGGCTTCTAGGAACTTAACAGAAATGAAGACTCTTGCTTCTCGCCCCAAACCTACTTAATCAGAAATACAGACCAGGAAAGAGTTTTCACAAATTCTTCATGTACTTTGGATATAACATAAAGTTTGACAAAAGCTATTCTAATGTGGCTTTTATGGAGGGTATAACTATAATGTGTTCAAAATTGTCAATGTGGTGGCATCAAATATGCAGACATAGTCTTTCTGTGGAGAATTTGTAGAACGTTGTGTGGCGAACAGATAAGGAATTGGAATGTCAAGGGAAGATTTTTGTGAGTTTTCCATCACATTGGCCATCATATCCTGACTCAAGTCTCAAGATTCCTGGAAGTGAAGGAAGATACAAAGCTTAAAACATAGACAAGATGCTCTGACTTCACTGTAAAGTGGTCACTGTAAAAAGTCTCTGGTTCCATGGGATGAAATGGCTGAGCCAGCATCTGAAACAGTCAAGGTCATTTCATTTCTTTTTTTTTTTAAAACCTGTCTCTTCTGTAAAAATCCAACATTAGGTAGAACTTACTGTAATTTAAAAGTCACAAAGTCATTTATAAAAATGAAATGCTTAAATATTGACAGAGTATTGTTAAGTATTGCTAAAATAGCTAGTTATCTGGTGAGACTGCTAATTGATTCAGTGTATAGTAGTTCATAAGGGATGAGAACCTTGGCCTTTATCACCCAAACAAGGCTTTAAGAACTCTATATGAGATGGGTTGATGTAAGTTGGTTGAGTCTCTAGAACATCAGTTTTCAACTTGTGGGTTGCAAGCCCTTTGGGGGTGAGGGGGACACATAACAGATATGCTGAATATCAGAGATTTCCATTATGATTTATAACAATATCAAATTTATCATTATGAAATAGTAATGAAATAATCTTATGGTTGAGGGTTACCATATGAGGAACTGTGTTAAAGGCTCATGGCATTAGGAAGGTTGAGAACCATTGCTCTAGGGCTTAATGTAGTAGATAATTCATTAAGGGGTAAAATATGAAATATCAAATCCTAAAAATGATATTTACAATTAAAACAGTCTGTCATGAGGCAACTGTGAGTGGAACATCCAAGGACTTGAGAAATATCTGCAAAGCAGAAAAATCAACAGATTTGTGGATCGTGGTAAAGAAATTCAACCAAGTCTCAATCCAAAATTTTAAGAGGTTGTTGCAAGCTGCACGTTCCTTGTTAAGAAACAGGGCTCACATATCACCAGGTCCCTTACAATACTCTAACAGCTACTCTGAAGATGTGGCATCATCCTGAGCCTTTGGATCCTTGTAAATAGGGGACAAACTTAATTCTTTGAGGCTTTAACTTGGGCACTTGCCTTGATACGTTTTATTATTGGAAGTCAGACAACCCCTCTCAAACGAGAGCAGGCAGGTTTTAAACAGCTCAATTACTGATCAGTTAAACGACTCACTTTTCAGTCAAGAACCCTGCAAAAATCTGAGACTCACCCAAATCCTAGCATTTAACTGTTTTCACTTCAACCTCAAAGATGCTAGTGGGCTTCCTATGCCTCACATAGCTAAAGAGAACTGATTTTCTAGCATTCTTCCATAGTAAAATCTTTCCTAATAGAACAGTATGTTTCCTTAAACCAGAATGAACGTCATGCTGCTTTTACCTATGACAAAACAAACAATTTTTAAAAAAAGATCATGCACCCTTCTGCTTACTTAATTTCAAGGACAAAAATCAAAAATGCAACTCCTGATCCAGACGTTGTGACCTTCCTTACAAAAGCCAGTATTTTGCCCTCTTTGGAAAGACACAGAACTGTGTCCCCATTTCATCCATATTCTAGACTCTTAAACTTGGCAAATTCTAGAAATGGAAAAAAGTCTGCGAGAGTGTCTTGCTCTCAAGGAGAAAGAAAAATGGTTTTGAAGATGAGACAGTCTCTGTGGGTTTTGTCATTGGTTTTTGTTTGTTTACTTAGTTTTCTCTAATCTAGCATGGAGGTCTCCAGCTCACAAGAGCTTCATAGAAAGGATAATAAGCATTTTCATTCCCATCAGCCTTTACCAATGGAAAGCTGATTGTAAGGTTTTTGCCCTAAGGACTAGGGACTCCTAAGTTGAGGGATGTGATTGGAGGTCCCATCCCATCTCTTTACAGTGTCACTTAAATCTGTTTAGTGTTTCTAAACCTGGTTCATCCAAGACACAAGAATGAAGTGGGGCCACAGACCCAGAGTACTTTTAAGTTTCTCGGTTGTTTGTATCTGTTAGCCCTGGGACAAGTGTGAGACAGGAAGAGCATAGGGAGTATGGGCTCGGTAGTGACTCTGGGATAGCTCAAGGATGGCTTTCTTTTTTTAATGTGCTTGGGGGCAAAGTCAGATGGGCAGCTGGGTGTGTGCTTAAGAGTGACTGTTGATAGCACATGCTTCTCTGTCCCTGGTGTGCTAGCTTGGGCAAGTTACTAAGCAGCTCTGTAGGATGGAGATGATTGGAATTCACTGGGACAATAGCATGATACAGCAGGGAATCCAAGAGTTCAGCACAGTGTCTGGCATCTGGTGTGTATGGGCAAATGTACAGACTCTGACTGTCGGTGTGTGTTGTTACACAGCCCAGGAACTGGTAAGTGCCCTCACTGGTGAGCATGGCAGGTAGCTTCACTCAGTGAGTAACAAGGGCATTTAGCCCTGATACACTTGTTTCCCATCATACTATTCAGGAAGGATCTCAATTCATACAGGTGAAAATCCTTAAGGACTATATGATTTAAACCCTGGAACACAGCTGGTGTGTGTGTCTGTCTTTGCTCCTCCTAAGACATGGAAACAAGTATTGGAACCTGCAGAGTGTTTAAATGGCTATTGAAGTGTTTTTAATAGCCCTTCAGTTCTTACTATATGCTTAATATTGTGCTAAATAAGTGCTCTTCAGTCTTTTATTAGAGCTTCTTGGAAACCCTAATAGGCAAGTATTATCTGGGTTTTGCAGATGTGAAAGCTAAGACTATGAACCATGTGAGATTCCAAACCAAATAAGCTTGCTGCCATGGTCTAGGGAGAGGGTGCTGTCCTATGCAAATGTTAAGTTGGATAACACATTGTGTATTTGCTGAGTCTCTTTTCCTATAGGTTTGCAGAACATGTCTGAAGTTTCTCAGTTGTTATAGATTTCTTACCTAACCAGGATGATGGTGCACAGAACTCTAAAGCCAGTAGTGTGGCATCAGAATAGCACAGTAATAACTCAGTTAAGCTACAACTTCAAGACATGAGATTTGGTAGAATCCTTTTATTGACCATCTGAGTAGAAATAGGAATAGCTTTAAGAAAAAGACAGGTTCCTTAAAGAAATTTTGAAATATGGCATCACTCCCTAGCAAAACATACTAGGAGAAAGCAAGCTACCATACAATACTTTTCAGTTTCCAAAGCAGCCAAGTGGAGATCACATCACAGGAGACAGGAAATATGGCTTGTTCACAGAATGATGCTACTTTGACTTCAAAACAAATCTCAAGTGTTCTCGAATCTGCTGGGACACTGAACTGTTTCTCAATTTATATGTACACTTGGGGAGAAAAGAATGTCTTTGAACTAATGGCTGGCTTTCACAAAACCATCTCGCCTCTCTGAAACATTACACTTGATACAGAAATATGGCTTAAGAGCATGTGATGTCTCAGGAGGCCCATGCACACTCCAGATCACCATCTTAGTACCATCACTGTTGTAATGGCACATGTTGGAACACATCCAGTCCTGCTGACCTGTAGATAATTATTTTTCTCTAAATGAACTGTACATTTATCTTAAATAAAAATTTATTTTTGAGATAACTGTTGCAAGTCTACTTTTTCTAGAGACCTTCTTGGGGAAACATTGGCTCCAATCTTCCTTCCTTTCTCAGCTGAATAACTAAGAATGACACAGTTGCCCTTGAAAGAAAACAACAAGAATCATCTAGTCCTGAATTGGTCATGCTAAGATGACCCATGTCTTGCCACCCTGAAAAGGACAGTAGGGCCTCACCACGGGTAACAGTGTCTTAGTCACCTCCTTACAACCCCCCCATCCCTATTCCTCTTCCCTTGAATGAAACAAAGTCAACGCTGTGTTCCAGAAAGACTGTTGGACCAGCTCTTCCTCACAGATCAGGCCACACTGACTGAAAGGATGATGCTCCAAGATGAGAGATGAGGCAGGCACTGAGAAGCAGGGAACCACTCCTGAATTTCCAGCCCTCATCAGCTCTCCCAAGGTCTACTGGAATTGGTTCGTGATAAGGCTAAATCTTCCTGAGCCTTAGAATTATCCCACATGAAACTTCTAAGAAATAGGCCTTGAGTGTTTAAATTATACCAGGTGGAAACTGAGTTCAGAAGGAGCTAATTGGAAGATAGGGAAACTCAAAACAGGAACACAGGAAGAGAGGAAGAATGGGAGGGGGTCAAGGAAAGGGTGGGAAGGGAAGAAAAGAAAAAAGAGAGGAGAAAGGAGAGGAAGGAACTCACTCTGGTGAGTTCGTAATGAATGCAGAGGCACAACACATGGGACCACCCTCCCACCACTTGACTAGCTTTGGTCACGGTCAACTACGTTCTTCTGAAAACTATCATACCCACTACCATGAGTGTCTCAGATAGAAGCAAGTAGATCTAGATCGAGCTGATAACAACTATGGCTTTTCTTGCACCATCCCTACCTCCTCATCATCTGGGCTTTGTTTTGCTTTGGATTGGGGGGATTGTTATCGGTTTTTTATTTGTTTGTTTGTTTGTTTGTTTGTTTCAGTTAAGTTAAAATCTTTTACTCATATTCACTTAGGGGCCTGGTTTCTGATCTGCCTCTTTGAGTTAATCTTGTATTTATGGGTGTTCCTTCTTAATTCTCTCCTTGAAACAGTAGCATTGGTGACCTTTTCTACATTCAAAAAAAAAGAAGAAGAAGAAGAAGAAGAGGAAGATTAATTGTCCTGTATTTATTGGCTTTGCAGAAAGCCTCATGTGTGACTTTGTGCTGATTAAATAATGCAAGTGGCAGGCTAGAGTTCACCAGTTGTACAGCAAGGTCTTTTTAATCAGTGGGGGAAGGTACCTTATACCTTAACACCACTCAGGAAGGAGAGCTTGACACACCCTCTAGAATGATAATGCTCAGTAGACAAGGCTTGTCCTTAGTGTAAGAAAAAGAGAGTTAAGGTTTGAATAACTAAGGCTGGAATATTGAATTCTGGGACAGAATGTGTGCTAAGCCTTCAGTCATTATATTTGTTTTCTTTATTTTAAAAGATCATTTCCAATTAATGTGTGTCTATGTGAGAGTATGTCCATGTAAGTGCCGGTGCCCATCAAAGCCAGATTCTACTGGAGCTAGAGTTATAGGCAGTTGTGAGTCAACTGACATGGGTGATGGGAACCAAGGTTGGATCTTCTGCAATAGCAGTTTGTGCTTTTAATTGCTGAGTCATCACTCTAGCCCCTGAGTGACATTTTCTGAGGATTAGGTCTTTAAATAAACAGGACCATTGTTTTCTGAGAAAAAATTCTCAGTGGAGGATAGCATAAGGTAGTTTGACAGTGCAGTGTTTCTCCCTCAGGCCTCAGAGGAATAGTAGTGACAGTCTCTCAAAGGTTCTAGGATAGTGTCAGGATGGGCAGATTCTGGATAGAACATCAATTAGGACAAAATGTAAAACTCTTTTAATGAAAGTAAGCTAGAATGTATGGACCTACACCTCCAAAATGACTTCTTCTCATGTACACACACACACACATACACACACATACACACACCACATCACATGTATTATCCTTATTTCATTTGCTCAGCTTGCCCTATGGGTCAGGCACTGTTCTTGATGCTGGGGAGCCAATAAGACCATGACAGACAAAGCCAAGCCACACCCTTCGTGGTGCTCATTCTAGCTGGGAACCAGGAACTGAACTGACATTGAGCCAGGTGGAGACAAGAGCTATGAAGGAAAATAAAATAGACCATGGAACACAGAGTGATGTAAGTTAGATAACATTTTTAGGACACTCTCCAGGGAGGTGACTGGAGGGGAAAAAAAAAAACAAAAAGAGATGAAGTGTGGGGCAAGCCCATCAGGGTGCAGGCAAGGTTCTGAGTGAAACACATGCATGACTTATTACACACAAAGCATGGTGGCTTTGTAGCCACAGAGGCAAAGGCAGAGAATGGGAGGAGAGACAGCAGCAAGGACCAAGTGTTGTCAACTTCAAGGCTCATGGTTAGAACTCGGGAATGTCTAAGTGATGGGATAACAGGAGATGGGATAAGATGGCAGAAACACACCCAATTTTAAACCGTTTCCACTGAATGCTTCATTGGGGAGGCAAGCGCACAAACAGCGTGTGAGGTAGAGGACGATGACAGTAGATCAGGACCAAGTCCATAGCTTGGGTGGGGCTGGTAGAAAGCTACTCTTCACAGTCATTACATGAGGAAGCTATGTGTACTGGATGCCTCCCTGCATGGATAATGGGGTGTGACGCATGTCTCTTCATCCAGGCTCCTATCTCAGCTCTGTTCTCTGCCTGGAGATACCCACTAGACTGCCCCTGACTGGCAAGGGATGATAGGCACAAACCATGTAAGTGGAAAAGCTAACAGGCATTGTGGGAAGAACATTAATGGTGCTGCTCCTAGGCCAAGGATGTTAGAATCTAGAAGAATCTAGTTGCACCTGGAGCAGAAATCTTTGCCTGCAGCTCAGAGGCTTCAACATGTGAGTCTGTCCTTTTCTATCTTCCAGGTGAAGTCCTTCTAGGGACGCGTTTGATGAGATTATTGGAGAACTTAGCCATAGGCAAGCTCCTGGGCACCTACCTTTATGTGAACAATATTTTCTCTTTTATAACACAGTAGCTTTAGACACTAATTCCTGTACACCCAGCTGCTTCTTGTGTCTCTCCAAGCCACTTTGGTTCTTCAAAAGCTTCAGAGAACCATCTGAACTACTTTTCAGAGGAAATGTTGGAATCCTGGCTTTTCTGATTTAAGGAGGGCCCTAAGTCACTGAGCCTGATACCAGATAGAGGAGGACGTGACAGAGCCCTGGTAGAGCAAAGAACCCATTCAGCAGATTGGCTTCCAGCCACCCACAGAGTAACAACAACTCTTATCATTAGCCACAAAGTCACTGACAGCTCATGCCCTTGTGATACAAAAAAAAGAAGGAGGAGGGAGGGGGAGAGGGAGAAAGAGAGAGAAAATTGAAAGAAATGAAGGCAGAGAGAGAAAGAGAGAGAGAGAGAGAGAGAGAGAGAGAGAGAGAGAGAGAGAGAGAAGGAAGGAAGGAAGGAAGGAAGGAAGGAAGGAAGGAAGGAAGGAAGGAAGGAAGGAAGGGAAAGAAAGGAAAGGAAAGGAAAGAAAGAAAGAAAGAAAGAAAGAAAGAAAGAAAGAAAGAAAGATTATAATTGTCTCAGAAAACAAGGTCACCCTAGGATCTAAAATTTGAAGGATTTTATTTAAATGTGCTAATATAGGAGCTGAGTTTCCAAAACTGCCACTCTGCTAGAATCCAAATGTTAACAGCTTATGAAAGAGAAAGCCACTTCCCACACATCAGCCCCAGTACCTGTCTCCACTCAAAAGCAAGCCTGCCCCACAGTATCTCCAGATCTGCTGACCTCCAGGAAGAGAGTGCAGGGCTGAGAATAGAGACTCCGTGCAGTTCTCCCCGCAGCCTCTCCCTAGCAGCAGACACAACGTTCCCAACACTCTATGAACTGTCTCCATTAGGAAACAGATAAAGATTTCAATGGGCCTAATTAATAGCATCAATTCATCAGACGTGACATACTAGTTGCGTGCAATCTCAGACTCTTGGAAACTCAGTGAAATTGAGGTGGAACAGTATCTGCTCTTGCCTTGGCAAAAGGCCTGGGAACATAATGTCCCTGGGAAAGGCGATTTCTATATTGCTGTAGGGATGAGAAGTCTTAATATTTACTGCAGAATGTCCCTGAGTTGAGTCGGGGGATTGGGCTCATTCATTGATCCAAAAATCTATAAAGAATCAGGCAGGGAATAATGTGGAACCAAAGTGTAGGGAGTGGAAATTTGTGCCTTGAGTAAACAATAGGAAAGGAATGTGAAATACACAGGTTTGAGTGTGTGTGTGTGTGTGTGTGTGTGTGTGTGTGTGTGTTGTGTGGTCCCTCAGTAAAATTTACTTAAATGGCTTTCTATGGAAAGTATAACAAGACAGCAGCCCTAGACCTGGGCACATGTGTCAATGTATCAAGGGACTTACCAGGCAACCCATTAACTGAACAACTTCAGTCTCTAGAGAAATATAGAGCCCAAGAGAGTGTGCAGTCCAAGAAGTTTTGCTCATTTATGATTCAAATGCCCTTATGCATGTAGTTTGAAGGTGATGTCATACACAGAGTTCAATCATTTTGTATATGAAGCAACATTCATGATGTGAAGTTTTCTTCTTCTGGTAGAGATCAAAAAGTTTCTTCTTGGTGTTTGTGAGTTATGGATGCCCAACCTGTAATCTTGACATAATAAAATACATGGGAGGAGAGGCATAGGTTGCATGCAAATACTACCATTCAAGGAAACATAAGATAAACTCTGGCATCCATGAAATTTGGTTGACAGGTGACCAAGGCAGCTCTGTCACTCAATGGGGTCTCAAAGGAGGGAGAGAAGATTGAAAAAGAAGAAAAACAATAGACAAAATTGTAACATGACTCCAGCCAGTGCTGAGGCTGTAGCAGCTTTTATTTTTCTCCAACCTGCCTTTATATGATTTTAGGTACATCCAAAACCCATGGTCAGGTCTTAGATCAAAGACAAAGTA